GCAGCGTCCGCATCCCGGGGAGATCCGGGCAGGGTCTGGGAGGCGGATGCTAAGTCAGCGCCCCACCGACAGCTTCTCCCCACCACTTGCTTTGCGACCTCGGCCACCGCCCCGCGGAGGGCACAGTGGATCCTCGCGCGCGGCCAGGGCTGGTGAGTGCGCCGAGGCCGGGTCACACTCGCCGCCCAGCCCGCGCCTGTGGCGCTAAAGAAATGGAAGATTCTCTGCGCTCCCTGCAGACTGGGAGGGATCAGGAACCTTTCGATCCGCCGGTCCGCATATCTCTGAGAATTGGATCCAGCGGCAGACATCCATGAGAGCGCATAGCGGTTAGGAGCCTGGGTTCCGAGGTCAGATCACCTGGGCTGAGTCCCCAGTTCTCTGCTTGATGTGTAGCCTTAAACAGCTGTTTCACGTCTCAGCGCTTGCTATTTTAATCCTTGTAAAAGGAGGATCAGGGTACCACCAGAGGGCTATTGTGAGGACTGCAAAGATCTCAGTTTGCAAAAGCTGACTTGCAGCAGTTGTGCAATACACAGTTACTAACATGATATTTCCTAAGCATGAGGTGTGTGTCTAAGGGTCTGCAGGGCAGGAGGGTTCCTGCCCAAGATATTTGGGGTTCCTGGTCTCTCAGCTTCATATCTCCACTCTTCTGATTCCCTCTGCAGGTGTCCCAGATATCTTTTAGGCACACCCACCCCCCTCCCCCAGCTTCTGAGAGGTTTCTGTTACCTCCTGCTATTGACAAAGTGTAAACTTTGAGTCAGGTGTTGTACACACTGGCTCAGGTCAGTATAGTCCCCGTTTTACTCACACAATCCTGCCTGCCTGGAGCTGGTGTACACCCCAGCCCCCAGCTTCACTGTCTGTCTAACAGGGCAGAAGCGCATGCGGGAGGATGTGGAGAGGAGCTCCTAGAATCTATCTCTGTGACAAAAAGGAGTATTTACTGTGCCTTTCCCCATCTGGAACTTTCTAACCAACTCAAATTCCCATTCTTGGCCTCAAGATCTGCAGCTCTGAGCCACAGGGATATAGACAGTTACCCTCCAGCCAATGCTTCTGATAATCAGGTGTTCATTCATTCAGGTATCAACTCACTCACTGGTTCAGTCATTCATTCAGCAATATGCACTGGCCAGTGCTTTGAGTCAAGCACTGTGCTTCCCACTGGGAAGACAGTGGCCATGGGTTCCCATATTACTAGGGAAACAGACAATAAGCCAAGTAAATCAACAAATAGGGGAGATAACACCAGGTAGACGTTGTGGAGGAAACAGACAGGCAGGTGTGGCACAGCAGTAGCAGGGGTGGGGGTGGCGGTGGTGATGAAGTTCCGTCTTCCAGAGGAAGACACTGGGAAGCCAACAAAGAAAGACTTTTGTTCACCACTATCCCTTCCCTTCCCAGGCCGATGTGCAGGGCCAGGAGTGAAAGGGGAGCTGCTTTCAGACAGACTGAGAAGATGTGAAAGGAGGAGAGAAAGGAGCAGTCTGGGATGGGGGTGCAAGACTAGAAGCAAAGGGCCCTGCTGACCGCCCCCTCCCCAACCCCCCCATCACCCCAACCCAGGTAAGCAGTGGTATAAAGTGCAGTGCAAGGCTACGCTGGGCATGTCCCCCCAGGGAGACACACCCCCAACCCGGGGAAGCTTAGTGAGAAATTTTGTGCCTGGAGAGCAGAGGCTGAGGTCAGAACCCTCGATGAAACCTAGCAGCCAGAGAGCACCCAGCACCTGGTGGGGGAGGGGGGTGTCTTGATGGGAGTGGCCAGGCTTTCAGCTATAGAGGGAGGAAGGGATTGAATAATTGGAAGGAAAAAAAAAAAAAAGGAAATAACCAGCTACATTTATTAGCCTTCTCCCAAAAAGTGTGTTTAGGGGCTGTAGGAGAGGGGTAAAGGCAAATGATACCCCCAGAATGTTCTCACGGGGGGTGGCAGGTTGCAGATAAACCCACAGACACTTCCTCAATCAAAGTGACCTGTGAGGTGTAAGAAATGCCGAAGGCTCTTAAGCCAGTTCCCAGGACAGAGAACTCAGGGCACCAGGAGGGATTCTGGTTGAGGACATCCATTGCTTCAAAGCGCAGTGCTCAAGGTTTGCAATCCCAAATGGGGCAGGAAAAGGTTGAATAATGAGGTGGTAATTAAGCAAGGAATAAATTAATGTGTGGGGTGAGCGGGTAGGTGGCGAGCTTATTTTCCATCACCGCCCCAAACATTTCACTTCTCTCCTTTTCCTCTTGCGTTTAGGCTGACAACTGGAATGGGAGGGAGATGCCTCCACCATCTGGGTGCTGGCAGCCAGCTCTGAGTGTGTGCACCAGAGTAGTCAGCTCACTTAGCTTGAAACACCTTGGCCAAAATGTGCCTCTAAGCCCCTGGGCCATATGCATTTTCATTCATTCATCCAACATATTCTTTGAGCACCTCCCATGTGCCAAGCCCTGTGGTTAACAAGACAGGCCTGGCCCCTGCTCTGAGAGGACTTGCTATTCCTGTGCAGCTGGGGAGAGGACCACAAGCTCTTAATCTTGTCATTGGATTTGCAAAGTGGGGGTGAAGGGGGAGAGTCCCCAGTTGTCCTTGGCTGGAGGAAACCAAAGACCCTGGGAACTAGCACCACACTGGGCAATAGAAGGAACCCAGGGCCTGCTAGCTCCAACGTCAATATCTTATTCCACAAATATTAGGAGCACTAGACATTGCAAAAGCTGCCCTCCTGGGCCCTCCAGCTAGTGCACACAGAACCCAGCAACCAGACAGCCAGGAGGTGCAGGAAGGAGGTGGGGCAAAGGGGAATACCAAATTAGACTGGGAGAGATGGGAAGGCTTCCTGGAGAAAGGTATTCTAGATTGAAATCCCAATTTTTAGCAAGACAAAAGCACAACAGAAAAATTGGGGAATTCCAGATAAAGGGGACCCCTATGCTATGGTCCTCCGTGGAGGTGGGGGAAAGAGCTTGGCAGGTTCATCCACTTTTTGCTCAGGTTAGAAAATTAGTTGGCTTCTTTGAGCTTCAGCGTATTCATCTGCAAAATGGGTATGACAAGGAGTGTGTCTCCAGACCGTAGGGGTGACCTGGCAGGGGGAGTGATCTGTGGATGGCTTCTGGCACTACAGACATTCAATAAATATAAATATAAAATCCTCACGTGGCTCAGGTCTACAGGCCAAAGAGGGACGGGTCCCGTGGGCGGCGGGGGAGAGGTTCGGCCTATGCACCCCCGGCCAAGGTTTGCGGAATATCTTTATTAACGAGCACTTCAAGGTAAGCCGCGATGGAAACCAGATGTGGGATCGCGCAGTCCGCGGCCGAGCAAGGCGTACAGATACCAAGGGGGTGGGGTGGGGGATGCGGATTAGCCCGGATGAGGCTGAGGGTAGAAGCACAAGCCCCCCCAACACACACACACACACACACACACACACACACACACATTTTTTGAGAGCCCTTAGGAGCCAAAGGTTGACTTCTGACCCACATTGCTGGGTCCAGAGAGCCCAGGCCCATCCCTCTTTGCCCCCTGCCTGTCACCCCATTCCCAGCCTCCCTTGAGGTATGTCCTCCATCCTTGCATTTCCCTGCAGCTTCTGGAAGGAGCAACTCTAACGGGTCCCCCTTCAAACTCAGTCTTTCCGCAACTGGGGGCCTCTATTCTTTGCTTTATCGAGGTCTGCAACGCCAGCCCAGGTCCGTGGAGGTTCAGGCTGGCGCTGCTACATCCCAGCTGCGTGATCTCGGCCAGGGAACCACACCTCCCTGAGCCTCAGCTTGCATTTCGAAAAATGGGGACCCCAATATCCACCACTTACGGTTATTGTGAGGCGCATTCGGTGGTTAGCGGCGTAGAAGGGGCGCAACGAGCGCGCGCGGTCAAAGTTATTTTTTCCTTGCTGTGCGGAGTCCCGGGGTTTGGAGGCGCACCTCGGCGAGGGAGACCACAATCCACCAAATCCAAGCCATGCGTTTTACAGTCGGGGGCAGCGAGAGAGCAAATACTGCCTCCCCGCCCCACCCCGCGCAGCGAGCAGGTGACTCGCGACGTGGTTTCCAAACAATTCACTCTCCACCCGCCGGCCAGAAAATCCACGCGGCTGCACGGGACGCGCAGCGGGAGCGGCTCGGTCCAGGGAGGACGGGGCGGGGGCAGCGCTCCAAAGCCTCGGAAGCCTGACCCAGCCGAGGGCTCTCCAGGGGCTGAGCGAACACAGCCCCCTCCGCAGCCCTGCCCGGCGCCCTCACGGGGGAAGGAAACAGTTAACCAGACGCGAAAGCGGCGGCGCACAGGACCGCTGTGGCGTGTGCATGTGTGTGCGTGTGCGTATGTGTGTGTGTGTGTGTGTGTTAATTTCATGGAGGAGCTCGGGGCAGAGGCTTGGGCTTGGAAACGCAGAGGAAAAGGCACCAGATGCGCAGCCAAATTCCCGCGGAGGTGTCCGCACGCCTCGCCGGCGCCCGAGGACCCGCAGTCCGCCTGACTCCGAGCGTCAAAACCACGTTAGACTAGACTTGTGTGTGTGTGTGTGTGTTTGCTTTTGTTTTGTTTTTGGTCTGCCTCTAAAGCTCTGGACGCCTCCCCTAAACAAAAGCTTGGACCCTCCGGTTTAGTTCAGCCTCAGGGTGGCCTGACACCTCCCCACCTCCCCGGCTGCCTCTAAAGCGCAAAGACCCTCGGGCGCCTCGGGTGGAATCCCAGGCGGGGCGAGTTAGTGGCGCTGTCTTGGGAGTGGAAAGGGGGGTTGGGAGGAAGGAGAGTAGGGCAGAGGGGGGTGGAGAAGGAAGGAGCGAGTCGGGCTTGGGGGGGAGAATCGCTCTCCCCCCCCCACCCCTGCTTCAAAACCTTAAGAGGGTTTTGGAGATCTGGTCAACTTTCGGAAACATCTGAATCTTTTTACAGCCCTCGGTTCTTTCTCCGGGCCAGCTGTAGGGAAGGGAGGGGGAGGGGGGAGAGAGAGAGAGAGGTGCAGGGTGGAGGGGAGGGCGCGTGAGCAGGCCGGCGAGGAGCGCACAGCCACCGCCTCCTGCCTCTCCAAACTCCTGGCCGAGGCGCGCGGTGGCGTCCTCGCGCTCCGGCTCGCGCCCCCGCCCGCCGCCCGCGTCCGCCAGGCGTGAATGCTGAGCCTTGCGTCTCTTACTGCGACTCGCCGGCTGCTGCCATGGACGCCTACTACAGCCCGGTGTCGCAGAGCCGGGAGGGCTCCTCGCCTTTCAGGGCGTACCCCGGCGGCGAGAAGTTCGGCACCACTTTCCTGCCGGCCGCGGCGAAAGGACAGGGGTTCGGGGACACCAAGACCCGGGCCCGCTACAGCGCGGGGCAGCAGGACCTGGCGGCGCCCCTGGAGGGTGGCGCCGGGGCGAGGGGCTCCTTCAACAAGTTCCAGCCCCAGCCCCAGCAGCCGCCGCCGGCCCCGCAGCCACCGCCGGGGCAGCCCCCGCAGCAGCCGCAGCCGCCCGCGCAGCCCCCGCATCTCTACTTGCAGCGAGGCGCCTGCAAGACGCCCCCGGACGGCAACCTTAAGCTCCAGGAGGGCAGCGGCGCTCACAACGCGGCCTTGCAGGTCCCCTGCTACGGTGAGTGCACGTGCGGCTTCCTCGGGGCTGGGAACCCCGGGACCCGTGGCTTCGGCACCCGGGAAATCCGGTCGGCTTCGGGGAGGCAGGAGTTGGGGGGCTGGGGAGGCGCTGGGGAGAGCAGCGAAGAACGACCCTGGTCGGAAAGTGGGGAGCGGCTGCTCCGAAGGCACCTGGGGATCCCTTTTGCGCCCTTCGCGTCCCCGGCCGAGAGCGCAGAGTGTTGGGGCTGCTGTACTCGACCTGGAGTCGCCTTCTGCGGGGCTCCGCCGTCCCCCCGAGCCGCTGGCTGTGTGCGCGCGGCCCGCGCCGCCGGCTGGGGAGCAGATGCTTCGCACCGGCTCCGGCGTGTGGCGGGAAGCAGCGGCGGCGCGGCCCTGGCGCAGGGCTCCGGAGCTGTTCAGGCCGCGCTCCCCGCCGGCTCCGAGGCTCCGCAGGTGGGGGCGTCGCAGGTGCGGGGCCCGGCGGGGAACCCGGAGCGCAGTCGGCGGCGGAGCGTGGCCCGGGATGCCGAGGAACTGGGACTCCACGCCGTGCGCGGCCAGAGGCGCCTGGGTCTGCGCTAACCGCGAAACCCAGGACCCCTGAACGCGGCTTGTGGAGGGGAGACAGGCGGCCAGAGTTTCCGAGGGGTTCTCTCTCGGAGAGCCTCGGAGGAGGCTGAAGACCTGGGAACAATGATTTAGGACGACCCCGGAAAGAAAGGCAGGAAGCCGCTGAGCTCTAGGCAGAAATGTGTCCGGGGAAAGAGAGAAGGTTCTGGGTCCTGATTTGGGCCCATGGTGAACCTGAGGCCTAAATGACCTCCAAGCCCCCTTGAACACGGCTGCAAGACACAGGTCTGGGACCCCAGAGTGCAGCGACCATAATGAAGGAGCCAGACACTCAAGGGCAGAGAGGCTAGAGCAGCCTAGGCCTTCCTTTCCACACAATCCGTGTTGACCAGCCAAAGGGGACAGGGAGAGAAACGAGGATGCAGAGGGGGGATTCCTCTCCAAGCCCTGAGGACACACTTCCCCACTTAGACCTTGGCCTTCCCACACGGTTCTGGGGGGAAAGAGCTGATCCTGGCAAGACAATGGCTTTGTGCTGATCCAGGCTGAAGGAGAGAGACCAGGCCTGGGGACAGTGGGGGGATATGGTGGCCGCCTGGGTAGCTAGAACCTTAGGAAAACAGCCCATGGCTTGTCACACTCAAACTGGCTCTTCCACAGGCTCAGAATTGATAGGTGGTTGTTCAAATACATTAGCATTCACGCAATCATACACTATCTGTCTACACTTGCACTCTACACACACACACACCCGAACTCTTTCTCATGAGCCAACATGGTTATACCCTAGGTACATGCGCAGCCAAATCCATGGGACGGGACAGGGCTGAGAGCAGATTTAGAAAGAAAGACCCGGTGGCCTTTCCCGGCTTCCTCCACTTCTCTCCACACTCCTGCTGGAGGGAGGTCAAGCTCTGTGGTGGCAGACCCTCACACAGGTACTCCTTCCAGGTCAGGCCCGGTGCCCACCTGTGGGGCTGCAGCTACAGGCACTCAGGCTCGCTCTTCCTGGCCCTCCTGATCTCTGTCGCTGGGGACTATCAGGCGAGAGCAAGTCACACACTGGGGGACCCATGGAGGTTCACTGTGCAAGCCAGGGGACTCGATTCACTGGATTTTCATGTTCTAAAGCAATTCACCAGTGATGCTTGTGAGGAAGACAGATAACCAGCCAGAAGAGATACCAAGTGGCTTCCAACCTCGTTCTGAGGAGCCTCCAGGTGCAGAGGGAGCACCCACCCTCTCAGCATCCTCTGTGAGCCCTGCTGGCCCTTCCTCTACTTGCACGGGCCATTGGGGCTGGGGGCTAGGCCGGGCCATTTGACCTGGGGCTGCCTCCAGTGCATGGTGTGACCTAAGAGCAAGTAATTGCTCTTAACCTCCCCCCTCTTTCTTCTCTGCACTTGGGGTGGTATAGTAAGTCCCCATTAGGTGTAAGTGTCTCCCCACAGAGAGTTAGAGCCCCCGCCATCTACTGTCACAGCCTGTGTCCTACTGGGAAATTCTGAGGACAAGGCAGACCCCTGTCCAGATGGCTCTGTGCAAATCCCTCCCTGCAGTTTGGGACAAAAGACAGTCTGGGATCACCCAGGGCAATACGAAGGCACCGCTCAAGGCAAAGCCACAAACAACAACAAACAGCTTTTAATTCTTTCCTTCTCACAGCAGCTGAGTTTCCCTAGCCAAGAGAAGTCTGGCTCCAGTGGAAAAAAGATTGGCCACCTTAGGTTCAAGATGAGGAAACCGAGTCACCAAATAGTGGGGCTCTGCCCTTCACAAAGAGGCTGGAAGGAATCCTGTCTAGACTTCCAGCTGGCTGTCTAGACTTCCAGCTAGCGGGGAAACTGAGTCACCCACCGATACCATCCCTCCCATACTTTGAGAGCGTGTGCTCAAAACAGGGAAAATAAGGTCCTTTTTTTTTTTTTTTAAGCTTCAGGAGGGTCCCTGGAGCTTGTAAAGCTCAGAAGCTGAGACTGCCTCGGCGCTGATCTGGATTTTGGGTGGTCTGAGTCCCAGCCTCAGCTAGCTTCATCTCAAAAACTCTTTCCCGGCTCTCTTGGCCTGGGGCCCCAACTAGAAAGCCAGATCCTCAACTTGCCTCACCACACCGAGAAAGGCGAGGTTCTGAGGCCGCTTTGCAGGCCATGGCTCCAGGAGCTGCTTCCAGCGTCCCAGGGACCTCCGGCCAGACCCGCTGGGGTGTAGCTGTGGGGCCGGGGAGGACACACCCGGCCCGGTGAGCGCGCGCAGAGCTGGGAAGCGCCTCTCCGTGTCCGCCAGCCCGTTCCTCTCCGAGTTTCCCGGGAGCAGGTGAGGATTCCTCCCAGGCTGCAGGAGTCCCTACCCTTTCTGGAGCCTTTGTCCTCTGTCCCCCGTCCCAAGCCAGTACTAAAAGCGCAACCAATGAACGAAAAGACCCCTCCGTCCCCTTGGGGGTGCAGAGATGTCAGCGTCCTTACAGAGTTCCACCGGGTTCTGGGCTGCGGCTGCCGCTTTGCCGACCCTCGAGGCTCCCGATCCTTACTTCGTCCCTCCCAAACCCCAGTTTCCCTGGCCGGTTCTCGGCTGCGTGGGCGCCAGGAGACAGGCCTGGTTGGAGCCCCGACATTTCTCAGCCGCAAGGAGAGCCTCCCCAGGCTTCAAACCCTGTGCCGACCCCCCGCGGAGGGCCAGGCCTGGGCCACGCGCCCAGGGAAGCTTGGGGAGCAGCCTGGCTACCTCCTCTTTCGCTTTCGATTCGGTGCATGCAGGTTCTTGTCGCTACCTTCGCGAACACCCGCTTGCCCCCAAGACAGAGCTTTCAGTGCCAGGGTCTCCCGAAACGAAAGCGCTCGGGGCCGGACACCCCTGGGGCTCTGCTGCGGGGCTGGTCCTGATTTGTTGAGTTAGAAGCAGCGCGGGTGTGAAGGCTTGGGGGATTAATTTCCCCACACCGACACGATCCACACACCACAGAATGCGTCAACTCCGCCCTGCAGCACTGGAATTTAATCCAAGAACCCGGTGCTGTTTTGGGGTGGTGTTTTTCCCTAGGTGAGACCTCCAAAAAAGAGACCTCAAGAGAAGCAGAAGCAGTAGGAATTGGAGGGTGGTGGTGGCACGAGGTGGGGGGGAAAGAAACTCGGGCCCTGCCGCTGTGATGTGGCCGGTCCTGGGCAGCTTTGGAGCGGGATGCGGACAAGGAAGATGCTTTTCATTTCGCGCTTTGGTAACTTCCATAACCGCCAGCCTGTGGGGACCCTCCGGCCTTGACACACGCGCTCTTCAATAGGAAAACAGAAGGCCTGCGTGCAAGGTCGAGTATGCGTGCAAATCAATCGATTGGAGCAGGGTTTCGTTATTATAATTTACCTGCCCTGAAGCGCACAGTGAGGTGGGACGTCTGAAGAATGGGTCGCTGCTGCTAACGTCCATCCCCATCAGGATAAAGCTCCCTGACGCGTGGGTTGTGCGTGCGTGACAGGAAAACCCTGGGGTGGGGAGTTGGGCTGAGTTTTGTAGTTTGCTTTTTTAAAAATTTCGAAAGAGGCGGTGGTGTTTCTGGAGTCCGGTGACCTTGCAGGCGGGCGTGGGCGCCGTCCGGGATGGGGCGCCGGGCGCGGGACCGCGCGGAGCTGCCGATGCCCCGAGCGGTGGGCGCCGCAGGCGGATGCGCCGGACGCGAGTTGAAATCCCATGCGTGAAGCTTGGAAATGCAGTCCTCAGGAAAGAGCCGTGGACTTTCGTTTCAGAGAGTAAGCTGGGCGCTTTCCCAGCAAGCGCTTTTATTTTTTGTTCCCCTCCAGCAGCTCTTTCCCCGCTTTGTTTTGGTAGCAAATCGAAATAGGAGAAACACAGCGACTTTTGCAGCTATTTTGGGGGGAGGGTTGGTTGGCGTCCTGCACCTTTGTCGGGGCTTTGGGCTTCTGGGCTGACTCCTGGGGCAGTGTAGGCAGCGACAGCAAAGGGGAAACTGCCCGGAACCCCCCCAGTCTCAGGACAGGGAATGGGGAGACTGTGCACCATTCTCTGCAAGGGAAGAGGAGGTGGGGTGGTTGGTTGCTTGGTCTGAAAGAGCTCCCCGTACCCGCACCTCCGTTATTCTTGGCTACCAGCACACCTGTCTGGAAGAAAGGGAGCCTAGGCTCAGGCACTGTTTGGGGTGAGGTGGTGAGAGCCCCCTCCTGCTTCCAAATTCTTGCCAGGCACTACCTGGCCGGGTGCTCCCCAAGCTAGAGGGGAGGGACGCCAGTGCTTGTGTGACAAGGTAGGTCATCAGTTTAGGAAATCAAGACAGCCAGGACCCCGCTACATGGTGATAATGCCCAGAGAATTCAGAGGGAATGCCGCCTGCACCCCCTTGCCAGGGGCCGTGGGCACCACAGCCATCCATCGATTGGTCTGACAGAGGGAGAAGAGGTTTTCCAACTAAACAGGGCCCTTTTGGGAAAGAGATGGCACCTC